TAAGGAATTTTTTAAAAAAATAGTAATTTTTTATTATGTTTTAAAATTTTCTATCATTCTATTTTCTCATTTTTAACTACTTATTGCAAGGTAGAATAATTATTATTTTTTAAAACTTGGCAATTGAAAATATTAGAAAAAATAAAATAAGATGAACCATTTCAATGAGATGTTATTTAGTGATTTAGATGTGACGCAGGAGGATGACACGCAGGAAAATATACAGTACCAGCGCACATGCTCTCATGAGCTATTTTTGTCAGACTTTTTGCCACTTTAGATATATAATTAACATCGTGGTACATCAAAATTCGTGATGACAATTGAAATTAAAAAAAAAATAGAATCTATAACATATAAATCATATTTGAATAAATTCAAATTCTATTTCACGAAAGTATGTTGCATCCTTAGAGAAATAGAAAAACAAAGACAATGACAATAAAAAAAAAGGGAAAATGACAATTAGAGATCCACAAGAATATTAATTACAATTATAGACTATAAATTATTGAATCTCAATAATAAATCATGGTCCACATGATATAATTACAGTAATTACTTGTGATTTTTTGCTATCAATACACTTTAGATTATTTATAATATTAATTAAAAATTTATGAAAATCAATTGTGAATAACATACCAATCACTTATGATTTTTTATTGTTAATATCTAAATAAATCACTTCAGAAATCAACAAAAAATATTTAAAATTCTTTGTAACATTAGTTTAGAATTTATAAAAGATAGTTGTGAAACTCAAGGTAATCAACAAAAGATACTTCATTGCAGGTGAAGACCTTGGTCTATTATTAAAATTTTAATAATTCAGGGTCTATTTTTGCAATTAATGTTCTTATGTCTCTAATTGTCATTTTCCCTTAAAAACTATATATATATATATATATATTATTACGCATTTTAATTTGCCCTTTTCATCATATTCTCTATCACTTCATAAATGTCTTGCAAGTTTCACATGATGGAAGATATCTTCAAAAGTGGGGATAAGAAGTTTGAGGTGAGTATTGTTACGATATATTATCTATTGATATATATTATTTATTGAGATAAATTCTGTTAGGTTTTAAGGAAAAATTTTGTATTCATTAGTCTTTATTAAGACATTCAATAGGTATTAGGTTTTCATATCTATACAACGCCTTTTCAAGTCTCTTTTCTTTCTTTTCTGATTTTTTTTCAAATTTAACACTTATATTTATCAATTAAACGCATTAATTAGGAAACAATCCATAAACTCCTAGAAGCTAGAGCTGCGAGAAATTAGAAAACAAGAAAAATTACATTTTGCCAGTGCAGGAAAGTAACACACGAAAAGTAAAATAGGTACGCGTCCTCGTGAAGTAAAAAAATGAAATGGACGAAGGAGAACGTGGAAAATTTCAAAATAGAGAAAGAAACAGAGGCAGTTAAGGATTCTGTATACATGGAGAGAAAAATGAAAGTGACATGTGATTAAGTCAACATGAGTTGTTAAAGCTCCAGTTAAAATAATGTTCACGCGCGCTCGCGCCTGTATGTATTTTTATATTACTCACATTATTTTTGTTGGTAAGAAGAACTCACACCACAAATTACCAATGTATAAGAATCATATGGATTTTCCAAGAAAACAAAGTTGTTGAAAGTTAAAGATGAATCATATGGAATCATATCAAATTGAAAAACAAATTGAAGAGGGAGAATATTCCATCAGTTACAATTTCGAAATGGAGGGTGGACAAATTTACAAACATCTAGCATGGTCAAAAACAAAAACATTAAAGGAATAAAAGACAAGAATAAACAATTGCATGAATTGTTTAGGGATAAAAAAAGGAAAAAAAAGGAAAGCTGGCATCAAGGTTTGAGTTAGTGCAAATTAAACTGGTGTGTTTTGGAGTGAAAAATGAGAGAGAATTCTAGGCCAGTGACAAATAACAAGTGGATGATAGTGAAATAGTTGGAAGAATTTGCATAAATGCATGATTTCACATAGAAACACAACATTGTGGTACCGTTTGCCAGAACAAAGAAGGGACCAACTTCCATATTCTAAGACAAAGATGCCGACGACGATATAATTCTAGCCATGAAAGCAAATTTTAACGTTTGTATCATCACCGTATACCTCAAACCATGCTGTATGAGATACAGTTAAAAGATTGACGACGCCACTAGTGTGTGTGGTCAATTTCAATCTTCTATGTATGAATATGATTCATGATCCTATGGATCCCCAAATATTCATCTTTCTAACATAACATGTTTCACGATTTCAATTTTTTTTTTTTTTTGCATGGCAAAAGCAGGAAGGTTTTGTGTTTTTTTTTTTACCAGACACCAACGGTAAAAGTCAAATATCATCATCACAATTGGATTTATTGCATAATTTAAATATATTCATTCAATAAGTTTCTCAATTATATATTTATAATCATTGTATTTCATTAATACTTAAAAAGATTATCAAGATATATTCACCTCTCATGCATGCTATCCCCTTCAAAAATTTAAGATTTAATACTTTTTGAATATCATAGAATAATTAAATTGCTAACATTCATATAATTATATCGATGGTTGTTATTGTGCCACATGCAATATGTATTGAGTGAGTGAACTTATGCTATTTACTGGATCCAAATCCGTCATATGTCTCAATATATCAATATATTAATATATAGTAGATAAATCTTTTTATAAATTATTCTGTGTATTTTTTATATGCCATCACTAGCAATAGTGCTAATTTTTCCAATGCATGCTTCTAATCTATCTAATAAAGTATAAAATTTATACAAAGGCACATTGTTCATATGTCATGAACAATGTCGCTCCTCTCAAAATATGTGCAATTTTTTTATTCTTGCCGTAAATGTTTCGGTGAGGTTTAAATATATATTCAAAAAATAAGTATATGATCTTTTAAAAACTTTTAATTTATACTATCTACCTCTAACACGAGGAAAGAAAGACATCTACTCTAATCTATATCTAGAAGTGCAATTTTTATATAAACAATGATTATTATTTAAAGTCAAAAAATAATATATCTATGTGTGTGTAAAGAAAATTAATTATTTGATACTTTTAATTTTGACTCAATTATAATTTAATCATTAAATTTTGACTCGTTGCAACTTGATCCTTATAGCTTTGGCTTGATTATAATTTAGTCCCTAAACTTTGTTTCAATATAACTTAATTCCTATAGTTTTAACCATTTTAAATATTAGTACCCATATTTTAAAAAATAAAATTATAAAGATTAAAATTACGTTACAATTTAAGAGTAATATTTTAAATTACTAAAATTTTTAATTTTTAAAAAGATTAAAATTTTGATCTTTATAATGTTATTTTTAAATACAAGAACTAATATTTTAAATAGTTAATTAGAAACTGAATTGTAAGAGTCAATTCAGGGATTGAATTGCAATCAAGTCTAAATTATAATAATCAAGTTATAATTAGTCAAACTTTAAGAATAGGTTTATAATTGAATAAAACTATAAGACTAAATAATTAATTTTCTCTAATATAATTCAAAAAGTAGGTCGCCAATTGTGTTCCGATAGAAAAATCATTTGGTTTTAATCATTTAGGTTGTATCGCACCTGGTATTTATCTTTATCTAACAAAAGGGGAAAATGTGGAGGCAAATGTATTTGAGAATTGAAATCATTCATAGTGTAGGGCCTTTGAAAATGATTTTTAATTTATTATCTAACCATCACATAGGAACGAAGAGCGAGCTTAACCGAGAAATTTAATGAAGGAGTATATTCTCTCAGCCGAAAAAAAAAACAAAAAGAAAAGGAAATCCGGTGCGGGAAATAAAATGGGAAGAGATTTGGAGAGGAAGTAATGACACATGCTTAAATTCTCTGAAATGATATTCATAAATTTTTATAATTTTTTTATTTTAAATTTTTTTCTTAGGTTATTATTTTACATAAAATATAAAAATCTTCTCTCTCTTTTTAAAAAGCAAACTTTGTGAAATTTACATATTCTCGTCTTCAAAGGATCTATTTTCGAGTAATACAAACCGACACGAAGCGATCACGAACACTTGATTCAATTGGAAAGAGATCAAATTATACCAATTTAATTAAAAGTTTTAGGTCCAAGTGTTAAAAACAAGGTTGTTAAACTCAAAAATTTTAAGTAAATTTGTAATAGGAATGTCAATTCAAAACGTAAACTTGGATTATAAATTCATCAGAGTTTACTTCTATTAAAAAATAACTTTTAAAAATATATGATTAAATAACTAAAATATAATACATGATCATAATTTAATTTAAATATATTTCAAATATATATCATTGAAATTAAATTCATATACATTTACAAATTGTTATACTCAATACAGAAATTTCAAAATACGGTAACTTAATTTTTGGTATTGTGTATTCTTTTTTAATATTATTTTTTGTTTTTTGAGTTTTATTCTTCATTAAACTAGGTCCTACCGTTTTTATGAACTAAGTTCTGCATAATATGTGCCTATTTTGTTCAACAAATTTATGAGTAAATTTGCACAATGTTTTAAGTTGAAAACGTAAAAATGATGAATTAGAAAAGTTAACTCACAAGTTTAATTAAATTTTATCTAGTCTAAATTTATAAGTGAGTTAATATGATTTTATAGAATGATAAAATTAAAAAGCCAACTCAAGAGTTTAATAATAATAAATAAAAATGCATTTGTGTTAAATACCTATTTGAAAAATCTTGCCATTAGAAAGGGTCCCACAGGTGATCGGTCCATATTCAATCTAGCCCGTTTAAACCTCTTCAGGATACTAGATATCAATAAATAAAAAAAATAAAAAGAAGAAACAAATGAATGGTCCCGAATGAGTACGCAAACTGCCCGCGTTGCTTTGTGGAAGGCTTAATTTCGCAATTCCTGTCCTAACACCAAAGTCACGAAAATAAGAGCGAGAAATGTTTTGTAATTAGAAACGTGACGTTATGGGGACAGCTCTTCCCAGCCCCTGTACCACCGCCCTTCAAATGCAGTCTCTGAATCACTCCCAAAATTTTGTGTCACCCCCAGCTCCTATAAGTACCCTCTCTCCACTTCGACACACTTGGCAGCAAGACACTGAGTTCCCACTTCCCTGCAGGTTCAGGCGAGAGAGAGAGAGAGAGAGCTTGAGCTAGAGAGAGAACCATGGGGAGAAGCCCTTGCTGCTCCAAGGAGGGCTTGAACAGGGGCGCCTGGACTGCCCACGAAGACAAAATCCTCCGTGACTACATTTCCGTCCACGGCGAAGGACGGTGGCGAAACCTCCCCAAACGAGCTGGTTCATCTTCCTTCTCTCTCTCTCTCTCTCTCTCTCTCTCTCTCTCTCTCTCTCTGTTATTGCTCATGCTCTGTATGTCTGTACAGGTTTGAAGAGGTGCGGGAAGAGTTGCAGGCTCCGGTGGCTCAACTATCTCAGACCAGATATCAAGAGAGGCAATATAACTCCTGATGAAGAAGAGCTTATCATCCGCCTTCACAAGCTCTTGGGAAACAGGTTAATTAATTACTTTCATTTCCATTTTCTTCGCTCAAGTTTTGATTATTCTCTTTGCCCTGTCGTCACTCTTCATCTTTAATTTTTCTCGTGATCTTCTAGATGGTCTTTGATAGCGGGCAGGCTTCCAGGGCGAACAGACAATGAAATAAAGAATTACTGGAACACTAATTTGGGTAAGAAAGTGAAGGATCCTCGTCACCACAACAATGTTGCTTCCTCTGGGAGGCTCTCTGCTCGGCCTAAGACACACAGAACTTCCAAGAACAATAATAATAGTAATAGTAATAATAATAATCCTGCAAATCTCAGACCCAAAACACCCTCCGTGCCTTCTCAGGATTGCAAGCTCAACGAGTCCCTCTCCAGTGTTGTTGTCCGTGCGAAAGCCACCAAGTGCTCTAAGGTCATCATCACCCCACGTCCTTGTTCGAGGCAATTCTTGCAAAAGACCGGGTCTGAAGCAGAGTCATGTTCGCCGGCGGATGTTGCGGCGGCCTACTGTTACCAGACGCCGGAAGTTGTCACCGCCCGCGAGAACAACGCGTCGCTGTCGTTCGGAGCTGGGAAGCATCATCATCATCATCAAGAGCCGTCGTCCACAGATTTGCTGGTGGATTTCAACGTGGGGGAGATCTGCTTGTCGGAACTCCTGAACTCGGATTTCTCGGATATGTGCGACTTCAGTAACAACAGCGTCGACGGCTTATCCCCGACGTCGGACCAGCCCTTCGTGTTCTCCGATGAAATCCTGAAGGACTGGACGCAGCAGGGCAACGTGGAGGAGACGAATGCGGCCAATAATCTTCACTCCTTCACATCGTTCCTTGAATCCAGTGACGGATGGCTGGCGGAGTAATTAATTAACCCCGAGTGATGAAGATTAATATTTACTGATAAGTTAGTTAATTTAGCAGTGCTGGGTGTTGTAGGTTTGATGAGATGAATTAACGCATGGGTCAGTCAGACTCAGAGAAGCTTAACTGTGTATATCAAGGACTTGTACTGGGTCTGAGTTGTGAAAATATTTATATAAAACGTAGTTGGTAGTTTGGTGGTAACATTATTAATAAGCCTTTGGTTTCTCTGTAGATCTCTATGTCATGCAAAATAGTAGTTAATTACAACCTTGCAATTAACAATGAATTTGGATTAAGATTGTTATATAAATATATTGGACAGAGCATGTTTTTTTGAGAAAGTGGAATCTCAATAATTTGGTATAATAATTAATAAATACTGTTAAGAATGTGGTGGCGGGACAAAACTTTTTTATTATATTATATTAAAAGAAACTAAATTCAAGGTCATGCAGTACGTTTAAAGACAAAACAGAAGCAAAATAATATGGGATAATTATATTAATTTATTTACAATATGGGATAGTTATATTAATTTATTTACAATACTATTTTTATTAAAATTAGTAAAAGATAAAAAGAATCATTTTTTCCAAAAATTATCATACATATAATGTTTATTATATTCTATCATTGGCTTTGTTGAGTTAGACAATCGGAATTAGTTGAAATGATAGGCACTCGCAATGGCATTAATGAAACGTCAAATGCTGACTACGTACGGATACTAAGTTATTAACGTATACTCAAATACGAGAGAGGGCTATATATTAAGGAGCCCGCATTCGCAGCACCAAGTGCTCTTGAGGTTTGGAGCAATTCTAGGACATGTTTGGTAACCTGTTTTTCAAAACTAAAAAAAAATAAAAATAAAATAAAAACTTATTTACTAATGTATTTTCAAAAAAATATTTTGAAGAATTAAAAAATAAAATATTATTTTAAGAATAAAAAATAAAAATATATTTTAAGTGTTCTAAAATTATTTTTTTTCAACTCATTCTACAAAATATTAATTTTTAAAATAATAAAACAAAAACAATTTGAAATAGACACTTAACTTTCCATTTCATTTTGACATGATTTCTGTTCTTTATTTAAATTAATTTTTAATGTTACATTTATTAATATATAAAATTTAATATTAAATCTGGACTATCTAAAGCGTATCTAAATGATTAATTTGTAAAATTTATAAATTTTTAATATTAAATTAAATCATTCAAATTATACTTAAACTATCTAAAGTCCATTTAAATAGTTAAATTTTAAAATTATAAATTTTTAATATTAAATTAAATTGTCTAGATTAAATATGTACTGGTCATATTGGTAATGAACATATTTATTAAATTTTTTATATATTTTTATAAATTTGTATTTTAATAAATGTAAAATAAGAATAAAAATTTTAAATTTAAATGATCCAAATCTCTTCAAAAGTTATAGGTATCATGGTATTCATTTCTAAACAAGCACTAAAAACAGTCCAAATTTAATCTTAAATTTTTTTATATTTTTATATTAATAGATATAATGTTAAAAATATTTAAAAATTGATTTAAATGAATGATAGAAATTATTTTAAAATGAAATTGAGGGTATTGCTCCAAACCTAATGAGCACTTGTAGTTGATCAAGTGATGAGTACAACAAGGACGCGCTGCTAAGTGGCCGGGATGGGAAGCGGCTTCATTAAAGTGTGAAACCATTGACTGTAATGCGGACGGATTTCCTTGGGATTCCTATTGCTATCATATATATATATATATATACACACGTATATACATAACTGCAAGTCGCCTTCCAACTCAACACGTGTTCCTTTTTGTCCTTCAAAATGCTGCCAATACAAACTGCCACCTCAATCTCATTTAATTCTGTTAACTTATTTTGTAATTTAAATTTTTTATTTTGAAAATTGATTTATTTTAATTAACTTTTTCCTCATTCTTCTCTCTTTTATCTTTCTCACTCTCTTTGCATTGTAACTCTCCCTGATCTTACTCCTACTATTAAACATTTAATTTTAAAAGCTAATAGATCAGGGCAAGTAAATCTACTTATCTATATAAAAGTAGAATCACAGGTGGCCTTTTAAACTCGACATATATGTATTTTTTAAAATATTATGATTATAAGTTATCCATGACAGCATTAATTTATAAAATATTTTTTATAGAATGCCAAAAAAAAATTTTATAGTTAATAACAATGTTATCTTTAAATTATAGAAACTACTTTCTTTTATTCTTAAATTTTCTCTCCCATGATCTTATTCATTATCATAATTTCCCAACTTTTTCACTATCCCAAATATACAATTTCAACATTTACATTAGAGTTTTTTTATCAAATCTTCTTAAATGTAATAAAATTGTATGTAAAATTAAAATGAGTTATTTTAATTCCTATTTCCCCCCACTTCTCTTCCATTATTTCTCCTACTCTCCTATCATCATAACTTTCCATAATCTTTTTTCTTATTTTTAGTTCTAAAATTCTAAGTACACAAACATACAATCACATTGAGCAATTATAAAGCATACGAGATTTTATTTCAATTCTTATATCATTCAATCGCTCCATTCCCTCACCAAGACAAGAAAATTAAAAAAAAATTATCATTCTCTTCGACTCCTCCCTTATGTCGTCTTTTGTGATGATTTTTCATTCTCAGCCAATGGCATGATGATTTTGCTATGTGCTTGTTGACATCGAAAGAGGAACTCAATTTTTGATAGATCTCATATCCATAGTAAATACCAGGTAATTGTACATAGTCGTGCATTTTGTAATTTTTTTACTGAAATTTCCTCTATCTTTCTAAATCTCTATTTCATAGGCAATAGAATTGAAAAAATTTAGTATGCTCTATTTTCGAGAAGTTATGGTTTCATAAAATTTAATTTGTTAGTTTTTGGAATATTTATTGTAAATTATATAATAATTTGTTAATTATTTTACAAGCCTTCAGGTGTATTAAAATTGGATGGAGAGGATGACATGCATTGCCAGGGTTCTTCAAATCAAATCAAAGTATTTTTTTTTTTCACTCCTTCATTTAACATGGCTCTTGGGCATCTCCTTGTAATTTTTTTTGGGAAAGCATACTCAAAATAATTTACTCATATGATCCAACTTTCTTAATTTTGAATAATATTTTAATGATCTATGTTTAATTTCAATTTTTATTTGAATTATAAACATAAAATGAATTAACCAAATTTTTTATTTTTAATTTATATATACATTTTGTATTTGAAGATAATTGCTCAACCATCAAGTTTGTGTTTTGATCTTGTTAATATTTGATATTGTAATATCTCAACTCAACTATAAGATTTGAAAGTATTGATGTTTAAGTTGAAAATTAAGTTTTCAGGATATATTAATATGTTTATTTATTGATATTTATAAATTATAAAAATTATAATACTTCAAAAATTTATCTACCCTCACATGATTTAATAAAAAAGATGAAACCATACATTTTTTATATTTTCCTTATAATATTAATTTATCATGGATTGTACATGAGAAAAATATTACAAACTATCTAATTATCAGGTAAGGCTACCAATGATGAAGGAAAAAAAAAAGGCAAAATCACAACTTCAGCACAACAAAAATAATAAAATATATTGTGGTTTAAAAAGAAAATATCTCAACAATTGTGAGGTGTTGGACCTGATCAATTGTGGTTTCCTTGTGGGAGTGAAAACAAAACAAAGTGAAGAAGATTGGTGGATGAGTTGAAGAAATAAGGCGAAAAGTATGGAAAGGAAAGCCACCATAGTTTTAGGCATTTAAGGATTCATGGTAAATTCTTTAATATTTATTTTTATAATTCTAAACTCCTCTTATTAATTAATATTACAATGTATTTTATGTAAACATTTTTCATTTGTATTAATTAATATTCGAAAATAATTCCATTTTAAATTACAAAAATACACCATGTATTACACAGGGTACCGTGCTAGTTATATAATAATAACAAGATGAAAACTTGTACTTCATATCGGTCTAAAGTGAGTTATATTATTTAAAGGTTATGAATTATGTGGGTAGCTAATTTTTTTTAATACTAATTTTATATACTTCAAAATATAGTGATATATATGTATATATTGATATCAATTCTATTTTTTATTTATAGACATGAAGATATTTTGATTTGTAACGTCACTTTTCATTTTATTTTGGGAGAATCACATCCAGCCCCTCTTAGCAAAATTAATTACAGATAAAGATCAATATGAAATGAATTATTGTTAAAATAAGAACATAACTTGTTTTTTTTTTGAATGGGACTTATTATTGATTTTTATCCGTAATTAATTTCTTTGAGAGAGTTAGATGTGATTCTTCCTTTTATTTTTCTTTCATTCTTGAGCATATTTCAAACAAAATTTGTGATTATAATTCATTTATCAAAATAGAACTTTCTTTATACTCCCTTTGTTTAAAAATATAAAATATTTTTAACCAAATCTCATCCTCCAATAAAGTAGTTATCTACTTTTTAACTAACCTTATCTTGTCATATTTATCCCTATTAAACACCTTACAATAAATATAAAGTCATTATTAATAGGGGTACTCTTAAAAAAAGTAATGATTATATCTCAAAAGACTAAAAATATCTTATATTTTTAACATTTAATTTTTTTAAAAAATACTTTATATTTTTGAACGGAGAGAATATATATACATATATCATAACAAACATTACACTTTTTAGTCCATGCAATACATTTTTTGCATAATATACACTTGTCGATGTGCCTTGATTAGATAATATAGAGAGAGAAGGATAGCTGAACAATACTATTTTTAATATAAAAATATAATGGCAAATAAATTTGCAAATGTGACGAGTATTTTTTATTTGATTAAATTAGACGAATCATTTTAAATCAGCAGAGCTGCAATTGAAACTTTTAGTAAGCCAAAAAAATAAATTTCCACGCAGAAATTTGTAAAAAATATGCAACAATAAAATTACATTCTATACACAATAATATAAAGAAAGAAACAGAGGATAACATTATTCAAATCAGAATAATATCATACACAATGAAATAAAATTTTAGAACATAGTAAAATTTTCTGGCAAAAAAAAAGGAACATATTAAAATTTACAAAACTAACACGCGTAAAGTCAAAATTGGGAGGTATTGGCGGGAAAAAATAGGGATTTGAAATAA